CTGTTGTATAAGATGGGTATTTTTGTAATATGACCTCCCTTTTCTATTGTTTTCTTACGGAGGACAAAAGAGCTGGAAATTTACAAATCACCTGAAATTTTAATTTCGCGAGAAAAAACTAGAAAAGAGAAGGGAAGCTGCTGTATCCGAATCGACCGGCGATCTGTTTTATTCCTCATCTTTGCTGTTTCATGATCTTCATACCAGCAGCTCGGGTGTAAGTATCAAATACTTAATTGATATTTTTATCGTTTTTTAAATTTATTTCGCTCAAATTTTGATGGTCGCTGTAACCATTTTCTTAACAGGGAGAAAAATGGCGCTCACAAGCTTTGACGGAGTAGGCGTTGGAATCGGTAAGCAAAGTACTATGTCGAGAAATGTGTTTTTAATTTTCTCTAGTCCTTTTCTCATCCCTTTTGTGGTTTTCTTGGATGAATTGTGTCTCCAGGGTTTGGTGTTGGCTGCGGATTTGGCATAGGATGGGGTTTCGGAGGTCCGCTCATTGTTCCTTATGTCTTTTTATATATATAATTAGAGGCCTTATAAGTCTATGAAGTGGCAGTCAATGTTAATGTGTTTAATTTAAGACATTAAAAATGGGATTTTCCTTCCCTAATCGTTTGAGTTGCTGTTTTTCTTTAGAGGAACAATCTTTTAGGAAAGTTTGAGTTATTGAATATCCTCATTTCAATTGTGTGTTAAGATGAACTTCACCAGCCAGACGAATTGTTGAATTGTCCATCGAGCCCCGTGTTTGCGAGCTGAGCTATTCTCTTCTTGCTTCAAATTTTCAAATGAACTGCTGTTTTCTGACAAAATAATGTGCATAGGTCTGGTGTGAGAATGCCTTTTTGTATTGATATTGAGATGGTCAAGATCCGAGGGTTAGTGGCATTGGGTGCATCTGAAAGACACAGGAGTTTTTGTCAATCCTTTATTAATGGTTAAGACATTACCAAGGAGAAGATTTGCTGTAGCAATTGGTTGGTTTACTCCTTATGCATCTTTTTTAGCCTTTGAATGTTATTTGCTTTGTTTTAATGGGATCATTTTCCCTAGGATTCAAAGTGAGGTTTGCTATTTGTATTTTATCCTTTCCTCTGTGTTCCTCCCTTCTGCAACTTTACTTCCATTTTTGCATGGTGAAAAAGTAGAGCTTATCTGATCACCCTATTCAATAATGTACTTTGTGCATCAATGATAAGTTGAAAATTCCTGCTCAATACTGGCATTAGGAATTGTGCATACTTTCTTCCATCGTTCCAGATGATGAATTAAAATGTTTGCTTTTTGTTTAAATCACTAATTTACCATGAGTTTTTTTCTTCTACTTAATATGTTCTATATTTAACCTTTCTGGTATGCGGTATTTTAGTAAATTGCTAATTTACTGGTTTTTGTCCTACAGGGGTGCCTTTGAACATCTTGGGTCTTGGTGCTGGTACTCGATGAGCTTAATTATTGAGCCTGTGATATTTATATGTATCTCATCCTTTATATTGAGCTGAATGTTTACACTAGAATTTAATTTTGAAGGTGGTGGCTGTGGAGTTGGATTTGGCCTTGGATGGGGCTTTGGTACTGCATTCGGTAGCAAGTATCGATCGTCTAGGGTAACCTTTGAAGGTACAGAATTGGGCAGAAAGGATCAAAGTGACAGTAGAGACCATACTTTGTAATAGCATTTGGAGCTGAACTCTTCTTGTGTCCCATACTAAAGGGCAAGTCGACTGTATGAGTTGGATTTTGAAGTTCTCCATAGAATAGAACAGAACGAAAGCATTCAGATTTACTGTTGTAATGGCAAGCTATATATGAGTTTTATTGAGTTGAATTGTCAGAATTTGCACTGGTAGGAAACCAAAGAACCTGAGGCAGTTTTAGGCGACATTTGCCGTAACACAAAGTCGGTCCCTTTATGTGCTGGAAATAAAATAGAGATTTGATCATCATCTTCCATGAATATTACCCAGTTATGACTGCAAATAATGATTTGTCCAACATTTCTAATGTTTCTTTGCTTTATACATTTCTCTGTGGAGAGTAACAGCCCAAAGAGAGACGCTAATAATCTATTTCCTGGCTTGTTAAAAGTACTGAACTTTAAGTTTCATAAATGGATTGACAGATTTTATAAATATAATTTATTTATTTTTAATTTTTATTTAAGAATTACTTAATAATCTTTGCATACCAAAAGGATGCTAATAAACGAGGCAAGTTATTTTGTGTATGAAAAAATAGAAACGAACATTAGAAACAAACTATTTTTTCAATGGATATCAACTCTGTTTTTTGTTTAAACGAGCGAAGTTCAAAGTTGAAATAAAATGTAAATCGAATTTGAATATTTGACTTGCCTGCTTTTTTGCCATGCCAGCCCTTAGGTCGACTCAAAATATTGTCAATAACATGTAATAAAATCGCCTAACAAAATCTCCTGGTTTGAGCTCGGCAATTAAATGACTACCGTTACTTGGCTTTGAAACTACTGCAGTTATCTGAACAATTAAATAGTTCATATATATTAACGTTAATGAATCTATATATACAAAGAAAACTGTGGTTATCTGATTCATGCATTTCCATCAAAATCTGAAATATAAGGATATCACCTTATCTTCTCTGTTGCCACGTGCCTAACCACTCTATCCATCAAGAGAAGGCTGGTCAAAGTAAGACTGGTAGGTTGCATGCTGCGAGTAGATCATTCATTTCATTTCTTGATAAATATTTAATCAACTGGCCACCAGAGATTAAACAAACCCATCAATGGCTGACCACAGAGTTTTCACTCTCTCTCATATTGCTCAACACAACTCCAAAAAAGACTGCTGGCTTGCCATCGATGGCAGAGTATCTCTCTCTCTCTCACTCTACCCATAAATATATATTATTAATCACAATTTATTATTTTATATAGTATCCAAGTGAGAGATCTTTGTTATATTTTTTATGAGTCTCATATCCAAGTTTTGATTTGTTTGTTTACAGGTACTGAACGTGACAAAGTTCTTGGAAAATCACCCGGGAGGGGAAGAAGTGTTGATAGAGTCAGCAGGAAAGGATGTGACAAAAGAATTCAAGGACATTGGACATAGCAAGGCGGCTCACAACTGGCTACTAAAATACCAAGTGGGTGTTCTCCAAGGTTATACTTTTAAGGACACTGCAGAAGCCGATATTAATGGTGATTCAAGCTGCGAATCCCAGAAAGAGAGGATGACCGGTTTCATGGTTAAGGATTCTGGTGAGGCCACATTCGCCGTTACTCTTCAGTTCTTCGTGCCGCTATTGGTGGCTGCTTCTTACCTCACCTATAAATACCTGACGGCAGCCGCCTAGGTGCTTTCTTCTTAGTTCATGTAATAATCCTACTGGCTTCTTTTTTTTCCTTAATCACTCCGTCATGTTGTGTCATGGAAGTTCTAGGATTCTGAAGTCTATAATGTTTGTCTAATTTCACTTGTGAAAAAACATGATCACGGCTAAAATTAAGAAGTTGGGCTGTAAGGCCTATAACGAGATAAGAATGCAGATAATGCTTATTAACTGAGTTTCATATTCCAATCCTTCAAAAAAGCACACTATCAACCTAAAAAACCAGCAGCGAAACTGATGCTCTCGCAAGCAGACAATGCTGAACATTTACAAAGTGCAAGGATGTCACAGTGTGTACTCCAACTATTTTTTTTTTTTACCATTAGATGGTAATAAGTAATGGGTTTTGAAAATAATAACCAAGTCAATATTTACAATTAACGTTTAACTTCAAACACCATTAAACTCGAGTTATAACAATCATAATAGAATAAAAAATAATTTCAAAAAAAATAATATATAAAAACACAGGCCATCTCAAACCAATTCTTTAAAAAGAAAATTTACTAAATATTCAACCTGTATTATCTTTAAATACAAGGAGAAACACAATTGTAGGGACCTCTGCGGCAAAAGTAACCAGTAAATTAAAAATTCTACTTCATTTCACATTTACCTATCTCTCTGGGCATATGCTAAGAATTTTTACCGCTGGAATATGTACACAAAACAGAAATGACCAAAAGCAAAATCCAAAATCAGGACATGATACAGTAAAGTGCCCAGCCATTATATTTTGCAGCTCGGGTATAATGTTTTGATCTTTGGTTCATTCCAAGTGACATTCTGAAGTTGCTTTGACTATGAGAGGAAAAAAAATTACAACAGTGAAAACATCAAAGACTATACAACTACACAAGTTAGTTTGGATGGCATATACAAAGAAAAAAGATACTTACAAGATCCAATAGGACAAGACTAACATTCGTGGCTTCAATCTCTAATCCAAATGTCCCTTTTCGCTTTTTACAAGATCCAATAGGACAAGACTAACATTCGTGGCTTCAATCTCTAATCCAAATGTCCCTTTTCGCTTTATAGCAATACAACAGAATACACCCTTCATGGGAACAACCAAAATTGGAAGGGAAACAAAAAGATAAAATAAATGAACAATACATTCACAGCCATCTGTGCAGTTCCGCATTAAAGAGAACAAGATAAATTCCTATTCTCCCTCTATCCAGTTTGCATTTACTGATTAGTGAATAGTCCCTACTAGACCCTCCATCCCAAAGATCAAGATCCTGTCTCCCTTCTAGATTGCACAAAGAGTAATTAAAACTGCAGCAAATACACACAGCATAAGTCTCCAAACTTTGAAGGAAATTTGCACCGAAAGAAGTAATCATTAAATAAAGATCAATCTTGACTATTTATTGAGCCCTAAATCACAATCGAGAAGCTGATGTACTATAGACGAGATAAACATGCAATTAAATCTGGATCAGTAAATGGATACAGATTTCGAAGTTCAGATTTATAACAGATTTCAGCGTAACACTAGAAACAATTCAATTGGGGTTTATTGGAGGCACAGGCTGATGTAAGCACGCTGATGTTAGCAGGTGACTAGTTAATAATAGCACATGTGCACTATTTGGATGCTAGGGAATCTATGGCTGTTATTAGGATGACAGGCTGTACTAGGATGTACTTCTGAGCTACTCTATAATAGGTGGATTATTATCTGTACTTAGAAATTATTGAACATTCTAATAATTCCAGAAATATTCTTGTTTCTTACTTCCCACTTCTCTAAAACTCTCTCTCTCCTACAAAACTATTCTACTTTCTTCTCTCTCTCCTTCTGTCAAAGTTGATGCTCGAAGTTCTTAACAAAGTGGTGTCATAGCCAGCTCAATTCCGAAGAGACGCAGGAATCAACAAGTGCAATGACACAGTCAAAGATAAAAGCAGTCATGCACTACAGCAAAAGATTCAACAATTGGAAGAGTCCATCAAGGAAGTTGACCAGCAGTTACATAATTCATAACCGAGGTGTATGAAACACAGAAGCAAGTTCATCAAGGAATTTGATCAGACTGTCGAAATGTTGCACGAAAGTTCGCGCATGTCAGACTCCAATACTCAAGTTAGTTTTAAATCAGCGGTTCTTTCTTCCGAGAAAGGACTATTACCTACTTCAGTGGCGTGAGAGGTTGGAGGCAGCAGGCAGACTGGTCGTGTGATGACTCCAAGTTCCACACCTTCGTTATCAAAGGTTGAAATTCCGGTATTTCAGGGTGTAAATCCCCAAGCGTGGATAAGAAGGTGTATTAGGTATTTTTTTGTGAATAATACTTCAAATGAGCAAAGAGTTGAAACGCTTCTCTATTCCTGAAAGAAATTGTTGATTTCCGATAATAGGGATGGTTGGCTAAGAATGAGAATCTAGAGTGGGATACATTCATGGAAAGATATGCAGGCGGTTTGGAGGAGCTGACAGAAAAAATTTTATTGAGGAATGAACAAATTGGTTCACATGGGAATGGTAATAGAGTATTAAGAGCAATTCGAACACCTGGGGGAGATAATGGTGGCTAATAACTCCACGGAAAAGTACTTTATATCCAGCTTCATCAATGGCTTGAAGGCAGGATTGCAACCAACGATTTGGTTATTGAAGCCTCAAACCTTGAAACAGGCCTTTGAACAGGCACCCTTCCAGGAACAGCCGATAATTGAAATGGCCTGAAGCCAGTATTTCACTGGAAAAAAACACCTTCATGGGCCTACTCTGCCATTGTTGAATGACTGTGTAAAAAAGTTAGTCAGACATGAGCATCAAGTGGATGAGAGTGTGGTATTTTGTGTCTTGGGCATGAAGCCACAACCGAATAGAGATTGATGAGGAAGCCTGGAAGTGAGCAACTGCAGGCTATTATGGATAAAAACCAAGATGCGTCTGGGGAGCTAGAAGGTATGCCACCTCCTAGGGCCTTTGATCATACAATTAAGCAGGTAGAAAGCAGCTCTCTAGCGAATATCAGGCCCTACCAATATACTTACTTCTTGAAAAAAGAGATTGAAGCGCAGGTGAAGAAAATGCTGAAGGAATCAATAATCCAGCCGAGCATCAATCTGTTTTCTTCACCATTGTTACTGGTCATGAAAAAAGATGGGACCTGGAGATTTTGCATAGATAACCGTGAATTAAATTCCACCATGGTTAAAGATAAGTTTCTAATCCCCATCATAGACGATTTGTTGGATGAAATAAACGGACCTTCAGTCTTTTCTAATATAGACCTGAGAGTCGGGTATTATCTGATACGAGTGAGAGAAGCCGACATCCATAAAATGGCTTTCCGCACCCGATGAATCATATTTTCCAAGAGTACCTACGCCAAGCTCGTACTCGTATTCTTCAATGACATACTCTTCTATAATGTCACCGAAGAGGAGCATTTTGAACAACTGGAGCAAGTGTTATCAGTGCTGACATCAATAATTTATTTGCCAAAAAATCCAAATGTGCCTTCTTAAAAAAGGAGATTGAATATTTGGGTCATCTAATTTCCTTCCAAGGAGTTAGAACAGACCTGCAAAGGATAGAAGCCATGGTTAAGTGGCCGCAGCCAACAACACTTAAAGCTTTAAGGGGGTTCCTTGGACTTACGAGATATTACTGCAAGTTCATTCGTCATTATGGCCAAACTAGCAAGCCTCTTACTGATTTGCTCAAAAAGAATGTCTTTGGCTGGAATCAAGAAGTGGCCAACGCATTTCAGAATTCTAAGAAAGCCAAGGTACCTACTCCAGTCCTGAGGCTCCCTGATTTTCCTAAAGCCTGTCACGATGGAAATTGATACAAGCAGAACTGCTGTGCTAATGCAGGAAAGCAGGCCAATTATTTCTATTAACAAAGCCCTGAATGTCCCAACCAGACCAAGTCGGTCTATGAAAAAGAATTGATGGAAATATTGTATGTTGTGGCTAAGTGGCAGCACTACCTGAAAGGAGTCACCTTCGTGATTAAAACAGATCAACGTAGTTTAAAAATTTTCTTGGAGTAGAGAGTGGTATCAATGGCAAAACAGGAGGGAGTCTCGCAGTTATTAGGCTTGGATTGATTTTCTTTGTCTAGACGACTCGAGGAAGGGGAAGCACCTGAGTTGCAACCTATCATAACAATTACATCCCCTGCAGGGTTGAGTGAAGTTTGGGACAGTTACACGGGAGATCCCTTCATGCACCAATGCAGGAACTGTTTCTGGTCCCCACCACCAGGCCCTCTTTTTGTTTGCAGAATGGCATACTAAGATATAAAGGCTGGTTGGTGATCAGTTCAGGCACAAACCTTTAAGAATTCAGAAGCAATGTCATAACTCGGCTGTTGACGGACACTCAGGGGTTAAGGCATGAACGCCTTAAGTAACACTTCTATCGGTCGGGTGTTAAACAGAAAATTAAGGACTGGATCCAACACTCTGAAATATGTCAACATTGTAAAACAAAAAGAGATGCCTACACTGAACCTATTGCAGCCACTCACTATTTTTTCACAGCCTGGACACACGTATCCCCAGACTTCATAGAACAATTGCCTAAGTTAGGGGGGAAGGATATTATACTGCTGGTGGTAGACCAGTTTACAACATATGAACACTTCATGTCTCTTAAACATCCCTTCTTTGCTCAAGGGGTGGCCAGAAAATATTTGGGAGTACATTGCCTTCATGGAGTTCCTAAGATATTGGCATCAGAGATGGATAAGATTTTTACGAGTCTTTTGTGGAGATAATTGATGAAATTGTTGGGTACAACTTTACACTATAGCTTTGCCTACCATCCACAAACAGATGGCAAGAGCAAGTCCTTGAATCAATGCCTCGAAATGTACCTAAGGCGTATGGCTTATCACACTGGCCTGAAGATGACTCCTTTTCAGGCACTGCATGGCTTTGCTCCACCACATTTCTTAGATATGGTGGACTTTCACTCTTTATATCCATAGATGGAAGACCTAATACAGGAAAGACAGCAGATGAGCCAGGCTATCCGCCATCAACTGTTGCAAGCACAGCAGCAGGTTAAGCAGTTTGCATACAAAAATCGGAGTGAAAAGGCACTTTAGCGAGCATGAGTTAGTGCTTCTTAAGCTGCAACCATTCAGACAAAGTTCAACAAGGAAAGGGCACACCACAAAGCTTTCTCCTCGCTTTTGTGGACTATTTGAGGTTCTGCAAAAAATTGGAGGGGTTGGTTAAAAGCTTAAGTAACTCAAGATTGTCCAAATTCATCCCATCTTCCACAAATCACAATAAAGAAGTATAACCCTGGTACACACATATTTTGATGACCGAACATGTACACATAAGGAATGGTGGTGGTAACTCCAAACAATATTTTGCAAAGGAGAAAAATTCTTCACAGTGGAAATGAAGTGGATCAAGTGCTGGTTCAGTTGGTGGGGACAGACTTGGATGATTGCACTTGGGAAGATCGGGATATCTCTCTAAACAATTTCCACATCTCAACCTAGGGGACAAAGATTGCTGCTTGAGGGAGAGTATTGTCAGCACCAACACTTGCAACAAGCCACTTACGGTTTATTTAAGGTGAAAGCTGATGCAAGCAAGCTGATGTTAGTAGGTGACTAGTTAATAATAGCACATGTGCACCATTAAGATGCTAAAGAATCTATGGCTGTTATTAGGATGACAGAGTATACTAGGATATACTTCCAATCCACTATATAAATAGGTAATATCCTTGCATCGAGCATCCAATAATTCCAGAGATATTCTTGTTTCTTACTTCCTACTTCTTAAAACTCTTTATCTCTCCTACAACTTCTGGTCTACTTTCTTCTCTCTCTCTCCTCCTGTTTGAGTTGATGTCCGACACTCCTGACACACATTTAACACCTTACTAAACCAATTGGTCACCACACCAAACAACTTCACACATTTTTATTGTAGGTGCACAAATAACACGAGATAAGAAGCATTTCAAACCAATCGTTAGAAAGCATTGATTATCTTTTTAATTGCTTATAAAACTAAGTTGATCATAACAGATGAACATTCTACACGCATCATATTGTTTAGCATAATGCACATCACCAACTAAGACTCCATATATGAGATAAAAGTGCATATATCTTGGAGTGAGCTGCTAAGAACAGGGTGCATACACCCAAAAATGAGCAAGGAAGCACCGGAAATGAGCAAGAAAGAAGAAACGTGCTCAGAGAAGAAAGTGGAACCGGATGCTGGAAATCAAAAAACCGGGAGCAGTTAGAGGAAAATGGAGCTGAGTGCACTGGATCACGCCCCATAAGGGTACATGGGTCAGCGGCGTGTACTTCCGCCCGAAATTAAACCAGGCCACATGGCAAATCAGAGGAAAAAGAAGCAACATGTGTCACATTCAGAGGAGTATTTAAATGTCTGACCGATTCCTGAACCGGTGAACCATTTCTTCTCCATGCGGTGAAGGACGCAAGCATTTCAGATTTTCTCTCTCCAGCCAACTCGTCCCTTGCCCGAACAGGCAGCGTTTAACAATGCAAATGAAGATTTTCATACTGATTCATGTATATAATAATGGATTGTATCACAAACTCGGGTATGTAATCTTTGGAAATAAAATCTCAGTTTATTATCTTTCTCTCTCTAAACTCTTTATCTCACTCTCTCTCCTCTCTCGATCATCCTCTCTCTCGGCCGCATCTCTTTATCTCTCTACAGTCTATTTCTCTCCCTAAACCATCCCTCTCTCTCGAACTCTCTTCTCTCTCCCCCTGAACTCCCTCTTTTCTCTCTCTTCCAGAATCTTCCCTTCTTTCTCTAATTTCCTTTTCTTTCTCTTCTGTTTCTCTACTTCCATCTTCCCATATTTTTTTTTACAAAATTACCCATATTTCTCAATTGTTACCATAAATACTACAAATTAATTTCTTTTATCAAAATTAAGATTCTGGTGGATTACATGTCAATGCTAGGTCCTGAAATGAGCATTTATGAGAGACACTAAATCAAATCCGGTTTAAGGAAAGCTCACCAATCAAGCAAAGGAAAAGAAGAATCCAAATTGTAACTTGAAGAGGCCGACTATATTGCATCTGATACTGAGACCTTTGAAGCTGTCTCTGGATAGCTCCATACCAGCCATAAAGTTGTTTATCATAACAATCATCACAATCCAAGCAACTCTTACTTTTTTCATAACATGAATTAATGACCTGCTGCAAGATAACCATAAAAACAAAAATACACCATTGAATGTGATGTCAATAAAAAGAAAATATAGCAACGGAATGAAAAATGAATGAATACTAACCTTAGTTGGCTGTGTAGGTTGTAGTAATGTGGTATCTTTTTCTGGTTGGCGATCCATTGCCTTCCATTTCCTAACATTACTCTTTGGCCACTTTAAATTGGTTGCAAATTCCATGGAATTTAAGAATCCAGCAAAACTGGGTGTCTTTCGTGGGGGTTGTTGACAATGCCCGTTGGTAGGATTCTGCAGGTAACCATCATCAGAAATTGCAATCTTCCAAGCACCAATATCAGCACTAGCACTAGCTGTCCTCCTATGCCCATCACACTTTCCCTCACTGACTTCCAAGGAACTCCACTCAACTTGATTGCTAGAATTCTTTGAATGATCAACAGCTGATTCTTTATCTTTTTGTCGAGGCAGTTCACTGTTCTTCTCGTGAATTTTTAAAGAAATTTTCTCTTCGGATGGAGATTGTCCAGACAAAAACAGGGCAAGTTCATCGCATTCACCATCATCCAAAGACACCCACGGCATTGATGCCTTGCCTTGACACAATGTTGCTTCCTGTAGTGAATTCTCAATTCTTGAGATCTGATCATCAATGGCAACAATAAATTCACGATGCCTGTCCCTTGCATCATCACTCAATTGATTAACATAACTTGAGCGCACAGCCCTTGCAAACTCCTCTAACTGCATTGGAATCCATAGTCAATCAAAATTCAAAAGAAGAGCATAACTTCAGCACAGAGATGAGTCAGCACAGTCATTGGGGGGAGAGGGAGAGAGAGAACCTGCCATTTGGTAGTGCCAAGTGCAGTATGCAGGTCCCTGTGTAGTTGCTCATAGTCCCAAGATAATGAATTATCTTTCTTCGCATGAATCCAAGTTCGATATGTTGATTCCATCCTATATCCCGCACATTACATTTGTGAATAACAACCAGAACTAAACAGAAGATAAATCCAAGAATTCCATCCAAGAGACCGCAATTACACACGTGAATAACAACCAGAACTAAAACAAAAGATAAATCAAAGAAGTTCATGCAACCACTCAACAAACAAGTTTTGAAACATGAAAGGAAAGACAATGTGTTGGAACTTTAAAACATGAAAGGAAAGCAATCTATATTTTCCGAGGAAATCAGAAGAGAAACTAAAATTACACAACTTCTCTATTATTTCGGCCTAATGATTCAGAAATCACCACCAATGCACGCCTAACCTGATATTTCGATTAACACCGTTTCCCAATCTCAAGGCTTTAACCTAAAAAACTCGAGTTACTCCTTTAACCACATAATTGCCAGGAAATCAAACCACCGCACATAAATTACGAAACTATAACTAGAAATATACAAACGAAACACGTGAAAGCAAAACTTCCCTTCAATTGATTGACTAAAAAAAAGCGCCCATTAAAACCGTTACCTGTCGGCGGATTCCTGGACTTCCTCGGCTGCAGGGAAATAAGGATCCTTCTCCCACCGATCGAAACTCGTAGCCATATTTCAAAAATCTCCGGCTTCCAATGTTATAATAAATAAATAAATAATCAAAATTATAACATAAGGAACACAAAACCAAGGATATTCCTTAAAAAGAAACCCTAACTAACACAATCTTCCATTAATTGGCAGATAAATTTTGCTGCAACATTGAAAGTGCAGATCGATTAATGGATCCCGAACGAGAGACAGGGATTGCTAATAATTGGTTGCTTTCCTAATAGAGAGGAAGAAGGAAGAAGCTTTCGCGTTTTGTCGTTCAAGAGAGTTCAATTTAGCAAAAGGAGTCGCACGGCAGCCACATGATTAATAATCACACTGCGTTGTCAACGGAGATTAAGATTTATCTAATTGTCTTTATGACTCAGAGAAACTGAACGATGTCGTTTTATTGCTGCCATGTCGTATGAGACAATAATGGGGTCAAAAGTAGTGTTCTTTAGAAAAATAAAATAAAAGGAAAAAATACGGTTTGCTTTTGTGCGAATTTGACCATGGTTATGGTGATATGGTAAAATATGGTTTCAAAAGAAAACAGCAAAATGTCAAACCCTTTCGCATTTATTATAATTTATTTGTTACAATTTATTTTTTAATATTTATTTTATTATAATTTACTTTTTAATATTTTATATTCATTTAAAATATTTTTTTTATTTTTTAATATAAAAATATAAAATAATTATACTATATTTTAATGTTTAAAAAACAACTTAAAATTAATTTTAAATAACTAATTAAATTAATAAATTAACAATAGTATTAGGCTTTATGTTATAATTAATGTATTAATTTAATTAATTGCTTAAAATAATTATTTTGGGTTTTTTTAATATTTAAATATAATTTAATATTTTTTATTATAAAATTAAATAAAATTTAATGTCAGAAATAAATATAAACTATTATAAATTAAATCATTAATGAATTAAACATTATAGAATATATTATAATAATCGTCAAACTTAATATAATAATTTAATATCTTATTAAAAAAATACTACATAAGTTCAAATCCTGACCATATTATTTGTGTTTCCTTTTAAATTATGTTAGAGATAATCATGGATCATATCAAGATTTGATAAAATAAAATGTGCTATTCTATGGATATTTGTATATTTTCTTGCATTTGCTATTAGCATCAAGAGGGTTATGATATTTACATTGTTATTTTTTTTTTCAAATATTTACTAAATTTAATGACTTAAAATATAACTTTCAATTAAATAAAAGATTAACTTATAAAAAATATAAAAAATTAATGATAACTAATCTAATAAACCAAAAGTATTAATCTGCATTACATATATTTAGTTGATTCACTAAATTCATTTAAATGATAATACTTAAAATTATATATATTTTATTTAGATAGTAAATAAGTTTGAACATATATGATATTTTATATGCTATTAAATAAAATATTTAATT